TCAGGAGCATAGCTGGAAACAGAACCAAGGTCTTCCAACTCCCTCTCCACTGGAGCGCAGCCTTCACAACACTCTTATTTTAAAAGATGCTACAATAAGTCCTCTGCAGCAGTGATCCCAAACACAGCAATGATGCTATTAGCTGCAGTATCTCAGGCCATTACTTGAGCCTACTGCAGTATATAGGCTAACCCCGTGTTTGTGTCCATGCAATTAGCAAACCATGGTTCTTGAACAAGCTTCTAAGTTCTGTGTATGTAAACAAAACACATTCATTCACACAGCAGGGCACAATCATCGTGTGAGCAAAGCCTTTGAGAGATTTGTCAGGGTTCAAAGGCATAGGGACTAGTTTTACCTGGAAATTCCAATATCACTACCCCCCCATGACTTTCCATTCAGAGGATCAATCACTTAGCTCAAAGTTATTGTAACCTTTGGACCCTGGCACAGAGTTATTCTGGAACTGATAGCAGTGAGTGCTGAAACCATCAGAAAGGGGGGGGGGGGAAGCGGTGGTTATCTACACTATGCCCTCTCTTTTAGCTCCCCAGATGCAAAAGGAGAGAAGTTTTTAAACAGTGCTGGGTAGCAAAGGCTTTTCTGCTTTCAACCCACTCTGTCTTTCCTTCTTCTTTGCCCTCCTAACACATCCCCGAGTTCCATTTCCCTAGGATATTAATGGAGAGAAGGAAACACACTGGCAGACTAGTATCAGAGGGGTAGCCGTGTTAGTCTGAATCTGCAGAAGCGATGAGGAGTCCTGTGGCACCTTATAGACTAACTGAAGTGTAGGAGCATAAGCTTTCGTGGGCAAAGACCCACTTCGTCAGATGCAGACTGGCAGACTGTTCTCCTTTGAGCACCATCTTCTAATGGCTCTTCTGTTCCCAGATTGTGTGTGTATAGTAAGGTATGTACATGTGCAAAATTCTGGGGCAAAATTTCTGGGTGGTCTATGATGGGTTAGACCACAGAAATCCCCTTGGTTTATTCCCCAGTGAGATGATCACATGACTACGCCCACCTTCCAGTGCCCTGGGGCTCCCTTCACCCTGTCCTGCTGGGCCAGAACTTTTGGTCTACCCCAGACAAAGCACCCCCTTGCAGAGCAACACAGACGCTGAATCAGTTCAGCTCAGGGAGGGCTCAGCTACAAGTTCTCAGCAGCCAGAAAACCAATCCCCCAAAGGGACCAAAACCCTACATAAATCCATCTTACTCGGTGTAAAAGTTTTATACAGAGAAAGCTCATCAGGTCAGGCTGACCCTCTTTATCAATGAAAGAGAGATATGCACAGTGGTTGCTGCCCCTTCTCTCTCCCGGTAACAAATATTTATATTGGGCTTGACAATAAACAAGTGTTTTATGAAGTATAAAAAGTAGAATGTAAGTAGTTACAAGTGTAAATAGATCAAAGTCACTAAATTTTTATGAACAAAAATGCTAGCTAGTTCTAATACACTAAGAAACTTGCTACATGCAAATTCATGCCCTAAATTGCTGTTCTCATCTCAGGCAAAAAGCTTTAAGTCAGAGTTGATCTTTTCTTTGGCCTGGGTCCACACTTTCTTCAAAGTTTTTTTTATTCTCTGAGGGTGGGCCAGGCAGTTTCAAAGGCCAGCTGAAGACAAAGGACATCTCCCCATTGCTTAAATAGACTTTCCCCCATCTCCATGGAAAGTTACCAGGTTCAAGATGGATTCCAGTACCAGGTGGCATGGTCACATGTCTTTCAAAGACCAGCCACAGTTTTGGCTTATCGGACAAAAACAATCATTCAGAGATTGTTGGTTTGAGTACTGAGTTGCTGTGTCAGAAGCATCAGTAATGGCCCTCGTTAGCACATTTAGAATTAAAAGCAGATTCACACTTTATATTTCTAACTTCACAGACAGGAATGATCCATGCACAAAAATAGGATGCACAGATTCAGCAGATTGTGACTGTAAAGCTGGTACGTTATATGACCATAAAGCAGCTTCAAGTTATGCATATTCACATCCATAAGCCAATTTTCATCAAGCATGGGGGCATCCCATGACAGTAGCCCATCAACAGAGTTAAGCGGAGGCTGTCTGCAGAGGGACTTCATCAAGGGTTATGGAGCATCTCCACCGTAAAAGGAGCGTGTTATCTGGGGCCCTAAGTAGTAGACTGCCTCCCAAATTGAGCTGAAGATTAGTCTGGAGCTAGTAAAGAAGGCACAAAGGGATACTGTGATTTATATACTGACTGCAACAGCTTAAAATTGCAACAGCTTCATTCACATCAGAGGGAGGGGGAAAAATCCCTCAGAGGTTTGAAATTAATTAATCAGATGTTCCCCAGATAGAAATAATGGGACATAATTCAAGACTGAAGGATGGAACATGCTCTATATTTGGCACTCTAATTTCCTCTCACTCCACCTGCAAAGTGAACACAACAAAACAAAAGCCTACAGCTGTCAGGCATAATCACCCCTGTCACTCAGACACCTGTTTGGTGTTCAGATGAATTCAGTGGAGTTCATACTGTTGCCTGCCTTAACGAAGTATTGGCACTAAATTGTTGGCTCTGAGCACAGATTCACAATGTGTCCAAAGTCTGATTCAGTAACCTGGAGTCTGCTGAGGAGATATTAGTCTGGAAACTGAAGCTGGCACACTGAAACAACTGCTTAAATATGATATGACACTTGCTTATTAGTGGGCAGTTTACTAGAGCTCTTTTGAGTTGACTTCTACACAGATTCATTCCTCAGGTGCTGAAGAAACATTAATTATTTACTTTCAAAGGTGTCAAAAATCAAATACACAAAGCAGCTTATCCAGAAGCTACATACATTGGAAGATTTGATCTTCCGCAGGCAGTCAACAGGGAAAGAAAGGCCAGTAACAGAAAGGGAGTGAAAAGACTGTACTAAAGGTCCAATTGTGAAGAAATGTACACACCACAAACAAATAATTCTAAGAAGTGTTGCATATCTGGGAGTGGCCCAAAACACACAACCCAAGTGGCCCATGCCAAGTCTGTTAGCAAATTTGATATCCTAGCCAGCTGCCATGATCTGAGCCTTCCTGAGCACACACCTTGTTCAACACTAGTGTCTCTTTGAGTCCCCAGGAAAGCTTTTTACCCCAATCATCCTCTCAGGATGCTTGCCTGTCCATAGAGTGTTCCTGGCTATTTCTCCTAACTTTATTTTGAGGGCCTGCAGAAACTTTTTAAAACCTATCAACTGATTCCACCTCCAGCTTCTGCTGGGATGAAATAAACATCTGGACTGCATCTAGATTGGCAAGTTTTTCTGCAAAAACTTGCCAACTGTCTACACTGGCCGCTTGATTTTGCGCAAAAGCACTGACGTTCTACTATCCGAAATCAGTGCTTCTTGCACAAATGCTTTGACGTTCCCGTTCGGGCAAAAGCCCTTTTCCGGAAATGTTTTTGCACAAGAGGGCCAGTGTAGACAGCTAAAAACTGTTTTGTGCAAAAAAGCCCTGATGGCGAAAATGGCGATCGGGGCTTTCTTGCGCAAAACCACGTCTAGATTGGCACGGACGCTTTTCTGCAAAAGCACTTTTTGCGGAAAAGCGTCCGTGCCAATCTAGACGTGGTTTTGCGCAAGAAAGCCCCGATCGCCATTTTCGCCATCAGGGCTTTTTTGCACAAAAGATGTTTTATCAATCAGGCGAAACATAAACATCAACCTAATATATGTTCAGAAACCTCCCTACTTCTTATTCCAGTAGCCAGAGCCTATTCTTACAAGGACCTAGCCCTGCTTCCTTTCACAACTGCAGTCTAGCTTTCCAACACCCTGTAAGATCCTTCTCCTGCAACCCTTAGCAGACAACCCTTCAAATTCCACCCTCCAAATCCCAAATGGGGGGGGGGGGGGGGGGGGGGAGGGTCTCACACCAAGACAGGGAGAGTGTCTATCCAGGAGTCCAAGTCTTTGTGTCTTGTGCACACAGCACCATGTTCTTTTTTGACCTTTGTCCTATTATTTATCCCATAATATGATTTTGCTTAATATTTGATCTTATGACCACATCTCTTACCAAACCAGCATCACTCATTTGTCGCATCAGCTCATGTGCCAGCTGCATTCATTCGCTTTGGCCCCTCTCAGCTACGGTGCTCAGAGAGTGGTCTTTGTGTCTTGTGCACACAGCACCATGTTCTTTTTTGACCTTTGTCCTATTATTTATCCCATAATATGATTTTGCTTAATATTTGATCTTATGACCACATCTCTTACCAAACCAGCATCACTCATTTGTCGCATCAGCTCATGTGCCAGCTGCATTCATTCGCTTTGGCCCCTCTCAGCTACGGTGCTCAGAGAGTGATCCATCAGGTTCACAAGTGGCTTGCCTTCAGCCAAGAGAATACCAGTCTTGCTGCTCCACCAAGAAGGGGACAGGGAAGACGCTAGGGTTGAAATCCTGTTACCAGCCAAGTCAATGGGAGTTCTGATTTTTGCCCCCAAAATGGAAGGCCCTCAAGAGGTGTTTGTTTTTAAATCTGAACTGTGAATTTTTCCATCTTCAGGCTTTCTGCACAGAGAGCAAATTCTTCCTTGCCCATTTGCACTGTTTTGGTATTCCCAGTAACAAGAATCATGTTATACTCTTACTATTCACCAGCTCCATTCAAAGTGGCTTCACTTGGATATATTTTATCTTCAAACTGTTTTCCTATTTTTTGTCTTTAAACTAATTTCCTTATATAATTAGTTATATTATCTTGTTTCGGGTTGGTTGCTTTGCTAAATAAGGTATTAATTCTATAGTTTCTTGTGTATTTCTTCCCCCTTTTTGTAATTACTGCAATCACTTCATAGAAAAGCATGATACAAGGAACATATTCCTAGTTGTTTTTAATACACCACTATATGAGAGCTCTGATACCAATGAATCACAAGTACAGAGCCAATAGCATGCAGTGTCGATAGCCACTCTAACTAGAAGAGATTCTCATTGAAAGGAAAGACCGATCGCACTAAAAGATCACAAAACAGGGGGTGGGAGTGGCTTGATGAACTGAACTGGATCACATATTTCAAAGTTTACTAAAAACCACTTAGCTTGGCAAGTGTAGAGTATATCAAAGAGAAGAAACAATAGAGCGAGCAAGAGATGACTGGAAAAGGCAAATGCTCTTAGCAAAGAACAAAACCTACCCGAAAGTGAGCCCAGTCTATGCAACTCCAGAACAATTTTCAGAGAGACAGTGCTCCAGGGAGAAAGGAAACTAATAAAGCAGCACAGTGAGATGCTGGGAATTACTGAGGTTTCAGTCTGTCTGATTGTGTTTCTTCTGATTGCGCAGTTTCTGAAGTTGCAATGGAGATGTAGCCGGCTTCCTCCTGGACCAACTCCCCTACCAATCATTGGCAACTTATTGCTGCTGGACTTCAAACTTCACCGAGATAATCTTGTTAAGGTATTTGTTTTTGCAGAATTCTGTACTTGACTAAAGTAGAGGGGCTTGGAATGATTGGATTTAAAATTAGTACTGCACAGGAGTTTCCTAATTAATCATAGGGTATTCTCCAACCCGACTTAATTATTACTCAAACACAAGACAGTTGAGGAACAGCATTACAGGGAAAAAAAGAATCATCACTTTCGATTTGCTATTTGTTTTCTTTGCACTTGCTGTTCTAAGAATGTCCCAACAGGTATATTTATAATGCACAGTCTCTATTATCACAAGCCCAGTGTGTAAATAGCAGTGAGAGCCCAATCCAAAATCCAGTGATATAATGGGAGTCTTTCCATTGACTTTGTTGAATTTTAGATCAGGCCTTATGGTTTCCAAAGTGGTTCTGAGACAATGTAGATATCCTGTTTTGCCAAAGGCAGAACCGCTCATCCCTTGTCTGGTATTTCTTTCTTACTGAGAGTAGCACTGGGTAATAGATACAGAAAATTCAGCCTTCTTCTAAAAATCACTCATATTCCATTGATGGTTGGGACTCACTCTGTGATATAGAATCATAGAATCACAGAATACTAGGACTGGAAGGGACCTCGAGAGGTCATCGAGTCCAGTCCCCTGCCCTCATGGCAGGACCTAGTACTGTCTAGACCAGGGGTTCCCAACCTGGGGTACACGTACCCTCAAGGGGTACAAGAAGCTTGTCAAGGGGGCAGGGAATATTTCATAAATAACGAGATTATCCTAATTGAGATATTCCAAAAGTAGTAGTGTTAGTGAAAAAAGTTGTGGATTCTAGAGTCTGGAATTTATTTCCTTTCATATTGAATAGGGGGTACAGGAAGGGTTAGTAAAAGCCAAGGGAGTACGGGGACTGAAAAAGGTTGGGAACTCCTGGTCTAGACCATCCCTGACAGACATTTATCTAACCTGCTCTTAAATATCTCCAGAGATGGAGATTCCACAACCTCCCTGGGCAATTTATTCCAGTGTTTAGCCACTCTAATAGTTAGGAAGTTTTTCCTAATGTCCAACCTAAATCTATATTGTGGGTATCTCAATTTACAAGGCATTCATGACAGGACTTTTCTTGCAGGCAGCACTGTCTCCAGACAGTGAGAACTTTGATCTCCATACCATGACCAATTGTACAACCTAAAACAAAACAAAACAAAACCAAAATTTGCAGCAACCTAGATAGGTGGTTCTAAGCAGTGTTTTTTTTGTGATGGTACTGCCCGGAACTCAGTACCTGCACTTCTAGATGCGGTACCAGTCAGAGCTCAACAACTTTTCCCCTGGAATACCAGCACTTTTTTTTTTTAAATAAAAAAAGCACTGGTTCTAAGACAGAGCAGGAAAAGCTGTATTCCTGCTTTGCTGAAGTGTCATTCTCTTGAGAAACAGTTTAAATAATTCCAGTGGTAAAAAATTCACTTCACACTGTTTCAGGAGAAAATACAAGTATACTCCAAGAAAAGTCAATGAGAAGAAAGATAAGAAAAATCGCAGGGAAGCAGTAAGAAATGTAAAGTGCAAAAATTGTTTGCTTCTCTCAGTGTCGATGGCGGCAAATACAATTCACAATAAATGAAAAGAAAAAGAAAAAATACAAAATACAGGCAGTCCCCGAGTTACGCGGATCCGACCTATGTCGGATCCACAGTTACGAATGGGGTCCTCTCCCTGGTCTCCAGCAGACCAGGGAGAGGAAGCAAAGCAGCGGAACACGCGGGCAGCGGACAGCCCAGACGCGTCTGGGCTGCCCGCGTGCTCCGGGGCTTTGCTCTGCTTTGCTCCCCGTCCCCCTGGTCTGCAGAAGCCTTTTAACAGATCTGCTGGCGGCTTTCAATTTTTCTGACTTACTGTGTTTGACTCTCCAGTTAACCAACATCTACGGCAACATCTACACAGTATGGATGGGAGAGACCCCCATCGTGATACTGAATGGATTTCAAGCTGTAAAAGATGGTGTTGTCTCCCATTCAGAAGAGATTTCTGGACGGCCTCTCTCCCCCTTCTATAGGGATATGATGGGAAACAAAGGTAAAAGATGCTGCTTTTTTGCATGGCATAATAATGAAGTATGAAGGTGGCATTCTAAGGAAGAGAGTTCTTCCCCGGACTGTCTTGCACAACTGGATAGCAGGGTGCCATGAATAAATGGAATACTAAGAGAGAGAAAAATAAAACAAAAAAGACAAATCTTATATTACTTACTCACATAACACACCATTGACTATGCCGCTTTTCATTCCATAGGATTCAGAAAAAGATTTGCCTACCAATATGGCCTTAATTCGGCTTAATTTTTAAAGAGACAATGTCTCCACATACCACTCACCCACAACCTACATATACTCAAAGGTGTGCCTATAGAATTAAGCAAGTCTCACCCACCAGTAGAGGAGTTATTCTTACAGCCCTGCAAATCTGGAGATATCCGCTTTATATCTGCAGGTATCAAAAGCCACAGCTCATATTTCCAGATGCAGATGCAAATTTTGTATCCGCGCAGGGCTCTGGTTATTCTATCCTCTCCAAAAGCTGTCTCCACGGAGCTTCCAGTGACATGACTATAAAAGATATATAGTTATATTAATGGTGATAGAAACCTAAACAACAAATCACAGCTCAAAATCTATGAAGTATGTTATTGTTTCCTCTTACTAGAAAAATACATCTTAATGTAAACTCATCTCTGATATAAAAGGATTTCCCTTCCTAGCAAGAGCAGAACAGTATTTCTGTTGCTCTCAGGCATTTTCCTGACAAGTGGTCACACCTGGAAGCAGCAGAGACGCTTCGTGATGACATTTTTAAGGAGCCTGGCACTGGGTAAGAGAACCCTGGAGCACCGAATACAAGAGGAGGCCAGACACATGGTTGAGGTCTTTGCAAGTCACAAAGGTAAATTCTTTTAAAGATTGAAATGTAGAGCTGTTCCCCTTTCTGTAAGGCAGGCTGTGGGAGTGATCATGGATCTAAAAACACTTCTGTTCTAGAACGAGGCAGAGATGGTACCTCATACTGGTTTCTTAATTGCCTAAGAGGACGAAGCACGTTAGGAAAGTGCTCAAGTTTTAGTGTTCATATTGACATTTTACCTTTTTTTTTAACCAATACGCCAAAACCAGGGGGAAAAGCTGCATTCAGGGCCATAAGGGCAGGAGCTGTAGGGAACAGCCCAGAGTTGAAGGGGGGCAGGGTAGGGCGGCAGCAAGTAATGGGCCTGCTCCTGCACTCACCAGGAGATTCAGGAAGCAGAGCAACCCAGCCCTAGCCTGCTCCACTCCCCTGGCTCCCAGCCACATCATTCAGGGGAAGGGCTGGGAGAAAGGGGTGGAATAGGAACAGGGCAGGGGCAGAAAGAGGCAGGGCGGGGACAGAGCAGGAGCAAGGGCTTCGGAAAGTGGATGGAGCATAGGCAGGATGGAGGTGGAGCTGGGGGTGTCCCAGGCTCTGCATGCCCCTAGAGATGACCTTGCTGGGCACAGTCTATGGGGGAGCTGGTTTTGGGATGGGACTGATTACTGGAGTTGGCACCACCCCATACGCAGCATGCAGATGCCTAGGGCACCACAACATTTTGTGATGCCCTATAAGGCTGAATATTTTGTGTACTGGTAGGTACAGCCTGGGGTACCTCAATGTCCAGACCTCTTCCCCCCAATGGCTAATGGGGCTTTAGTGTGGACTCAGGCCCATCCACTACTCTGGGGTCCTAGCCCAGGGACCCTGTAGATAGCAGCTGTCTGCTGGGTCCATTCATTCAAGTTCCACCACTGTTATAATTCCCTGGGCCACTTTCTCAGGGCCCTGCACTCTCTTTGCCCTCACCTGAGGACTTTGTCCAAAACAGAATCCTAGAAACCAACTCAGCGCTCCTACTTACTCTCTCCAGCACCTGACAGTACCACCTTGTCTGGGGTTCTGCAGCTCTGCCAGCCAGCCAGCCAGCCAGCCATACTGTCCACGCTCCTACAGCTCAAGCAAGGAACTGACCGGCTCCCTGGCCCAGCAGTTCTCTTTATACTAGCTTGCTGGACCCTGATTGGTTGTTTCTCACACAGCCACTCCAGCGAGCTGGGAGGACTTCTCTACTGTTCTTTTCAAGGGCAGAGCATGGCAGGTTCAAAAAGCCTCCAGCAGGGGGCCTCAGGGCCTAGTCCACACCATTATACATGCCTTTCCTTTTCTCCCATGAAATTTCATTCAGTTCTGGATGAAATATAAACCACTGAAAATCATCATCCCACGTCCCTCACTCGTGTTCTTCAGTAACCATTGTGGCAGAACACCAAGAGAATAATAACTGAACATAAATATTCTAAAAAATCATATCCACACCACCACAGAAGCAGCACCCCATGCTGTATGTCCTGTAGCTCCAGAAGCAGCAGTCTTTGGTATAGCGATGCAGATTCAGGGTACAAACAAACCCCAACGATGTATGGGAAGAGGGGCTGTAATTGTTACTAGCGCACAATAGATGGCTTGTTTTTTCCCCTTTTCCTTCGGAACTGCCTTCCAGAAAGAACACACAGAAAACCACATAAAAATCAACTATTTAGGTTGCAAAGTCAAGCACCTGAAAGATAGAAAATGCCAGATTTAAGACTGTAGTATGTAATATCAATTTAGAATGAATCCAAGTATATGAAATGAATAATCTACCTTAGATTTTAATTACTGCTTTGGAAACGTGAATATTTAGAAATCGTTTGTTAAAGCCCCAATCCCAACTCCCACTATAATCAATCAAAAACAACAAATAATCTGGTGGAAGAACCTTAAAGATTAACAAAACATGTTGATGGTATCATGAGCTTTCGTGAGCACAACCCATTTCTTCAGATGACATGAAAGCTCATGATACCATCTCCATGTTTTGTTAGTCTTTAAGATGCTACCAGACTATTTGTTGTTTTTAAGTTTTTCCTGTTACAGACTAACTCAGCTATCCCTCTGAAGCTTGTAATCAATCAGTTTTTCTATCTTCTCTAATGGGAGCTGGATCAGACCCTAAGAGAGGAGCGATATAACAAATCTTTTTCATTTTACAAACATGCTTTTGACCCACGAGGTAAGCCTTGTGTTGAACCACATTTGTCGCTGAAAAAATTAACTAGAAATTTTAAAATGGCACCAGAGCTCCTGAAGTGGGTCATTTCAAATGATGGGTCATTTCAAAACTTGGATGAAACTAAAACTTTGGCGGTAAAAAGGAAACATTAAAAACTCCTGTCTAGAAACTTGAGAAACTATGCTTTTATTTCAATCCATGGCTCAGAGAGGAGGAAAAAAAAGCAGTCATTCTACAAAACATGATGGACCAAATAGGGAAATGCAGATGCAACGTTTGTTTCCTCCAAACCTAGTTAAGGACAAGGAGTAACAAAAATAAATTCCAAGAATCTCTTAAAAAATATCTTACTCCAAAAGAACCAAAGGAAGCCCTCTCCAGGATCTAGTTCCTCTGTTTAGTTTACATTAAATAGAATTCACTCCTTTGTAAAATGTCTCACTTATCTAAAAGTTATTCAATCTCCTTTATGTTGTACAACTGCTAGAAGTATTGTGCAGATTCCTTCATGTCTCAAATTAACTTTCCTCACTGTAGTCCATTCAATGGTTCTAACTGACATCAGCTGTATTTGCAGGGAAACTTTTTGACCCCCATATCCACATGATCCACGCTATCGCAAACGTGATTTGCTCTGTGAGTTTTGGTCATCGCTTCTCTAGCGAGGATGATTCTTTCAACCGGCTCATCAAAGCCATCTCTTCTGTGGTGTACTTTAATGCCACGACCTGGGGCAGGGTGAGCATTCGGTTATTTTAATTCTTATCACTGTAAGTTTATCTGTGTTAACTGGGAATACCAGAGGTGTTAATGGTTACCGTATAAACATAGCACAGAGATCAACATCTGCCACAGGACATAATTTAAAGTATTGTGCAGGATTTTGGCTTTTGAGGCAATAAATATGCACTTCTTCATTCTCATGTCTTATTTATAGAACCCCATCAGTAAACCATCAAGGAGGCAGGTGGCACTTCAAAGACAAACAAATTAGAAATCTGGTTCAAGGCACACAAGTTTATGTAAACATCTCTTGGTTTACATAAACAGTCAATGGTTTGGAAATCGACTGCCAATAGAATTAAGGATTTGTACTAATAACTCAAGTCTTAGTGTGACTTCAGAGCTAATTAAATCAGAGTGGATGGCTCTCATTACAACAGATAATTTCCCCCTCAGATATTCTCTTTCATCTTCTTATTGCTCTGGGAGGTGAACCACATCCATTCTGATTTAACTAGCACTTATGTCACATTCCCATCTCTGTCTCCCTGCCTTTTTTCTTTTCTTTTCTCTTCAAGCATCTGAAGAAGTGAGTTGCATCTCATGAAAGCTTATGCCCTAATAAATGTGTTAGTCTTTAAAGTGCCACTGGACTCCTTGTTGGTTTTGCTGAAATAGACTGACATGGCTACCTCTCTGAAACCTGTCATCAGAAAATCATGTAGCCCAAGACTTGAGTTATTAGTACAAATCATTAATTCAGTTGGAAGTCGATTTCCAAACCATTGAGTGTGTTCCAAAACTAAGAGATGTTTACATAAACTTCTGTGCCATGAACCAGATTTCTAAATGCTAGCACTAAACCTAGCAAACACTCACTCTTGGAATGCAGATTTTGTATTTGGAAACTGAGACATAAAAGTACAGTTCATAAAATCCAAAACTTTGAAGCCCTGCCATTTTGAGCAGATTTCTGATCAGTCTTGCTCAAGATCGGCTCCTCAAAGCCTAACTGGATGTTCTATACCACAGTATCTGACAGAATTTAGGTTTAAACATGGACTTGTCTAACATTTTAACTAAACTGCATGTCTTTTATATGGATTAGGGATGTTAAAATGCGATTATTTACTAATCGAGTAGTTGATAAGGGTGGGCAGTTCCAACGTGCAGTCTGGCTCACGCCGATTCACAGCATAACCTCCCCAGCTGCCGCTCTGCATTTTAGAGCACAGGGAAGTCTCTTATTAAAAGACCCATGGAGCAAGGACTGACCCAGCTTCTCTGTGCACTGGATGTACAAAGAGTTGAGGGACCCAGAGCCCAGCCTGAGCCCCGGCACCCGAATTAGCTGACAGGGGCCAGCTTAGGGTGTTTCACTGCAGTGTAGACAACTTAAAAAACAGTCCACCAAAGCTTCAGGATAAAGACTGTGGTCAGCCATGATGCAGGAGCATTCAACATCTGGAGGTGGTCCAAGACTGTGGATTAAATTTCCCCAGGCACTAAAAAGCATGACAGATCTAAGTACTTTCTGCACCTCCTGAAAGTGCATTTCTTTAACCTTGCCTTCTCTTATCTAGACTCACACCACAACAAGTATATTTATGTAAAAACACACCCTACTGAAAGAAAACACTCCACTGCACACGCTTCTCCCTTTGGGGGGCAGAATAAGAGAACAAACATGATAGGTATGCGGACACATTGTTTAATGAACACCAAAGAGCGCTCGGCTACTACCATGAATGAGCAGAGTATATGAATATAGAACAGAATATCAGTTTAGCCCAGCTCAGAAGTGACCACTTAAAGTAGAGGTTAAAAATTTCATATTCCTGCTAGAATTAAAAACCCTCCAGTCCTTTCATGAGTTTAAGTTATCATGATACTTCAAACTCACTCAGGTTCACTTGATTATATCAAAGAACTCACATCATCTCCCCTATGTTTTACCCATAGTTGTATGATGTGTTCCCATGGGTTATGCATTATCTCCCAGGACCTCACCAGAAAGTGTTTGCATACAATGATTTTATGCACAATTTAGTTAGAAATGAGATCCGAAGTCATGAGGAGAGATGGAAAGCAGATGATCCACAGGATTTCATTGACCTCTACTTGGACCAGATAGCAAAAGTAAGTACCTGTACTCTGTCTAATACTAGTTGTTTCTTAGCCTCACTGTCCGCTGCAAAGAAACTTTGTTGAAGGATTGTGTTACACAGGTTGAAGCTCTAGTCAGGCTTTCTCTGGTCCAGTCACTTCCATGGTCCGGCATGCTTTTAGTTAGCTGGATGGCCTCTTATCATGGGTGTGGTCAACTTTCCCGCCGTCCCATAAAGTCCGTTGACAGCCACCAGTCCTAGCTCTCAGTGTTCTGTGCTGTCATTTAACTCTAATTTATTCCTAAATGTCTTCTAAGAGCCCAGTAACCAGTGGAAGTGTTGGCAATGCTGCTAGATGATATTAACCTTCTGTGGTTCAACAATTTTTCTGGTTTGGTCAGATTCCGAGGGTGCGGGACTAGAGATGTTCAACCTGTAGATTGATATTTCAAATCTTCCTGTAACTGGTGACTTCTGAAGTGGTTTTGGTTCCCCTCCACATTTGATAGACATGAGAAGTTTTCATCCAGCAACACTAACTGGGTCAACTGCCTCCTGTGTGCCCCTTTTGGGCTAGGGGAGGTGCTGCATTACGCAGCCTCAGTTTGTGAAAGCTTCTTGGTTCCTCAGTCACTTCAAAAGAGGCTTTCACAAATCCAACAGCAGCACTTCTTGGGGATGGTTTTAACATCCCAAAGTTACAAAACAACCACAAACTTTTCCATTCAGCCTTAACCCAGGCAGAGCTCCTTTTTGCTGAGTTATTGCCTCCTCTTCTTCTGACCACCGGAGGAGATGCAAAGCCTCGCCCCCATCTTGGTGTCTCGCCAAAAAGGGGGGAAAAAAAACCCACCAGAAACTTTCAGATGAGTCTTTCTACCCAGCCCCAGCTCCTTTTCTCAGGAACCACTGCAGGAGACACTCTTCCTGCATCTTCACTCTGTAACCACCATTTGGTCATCCACCAGCCTCTGTTTTTCTACCCTCATAGAGGTATGGTTTAGTCCAGGGGCGGGGAACCTTTTTGGGTCAGGTGCCACTGGCCCATAGAAAAATCAGCCAGGGGTGAGAACCAAAAGAGAAAAACCAACCCGTTCCCAACTGAAAAGGAAAAAAAAAGACACATCCCACATACCCCTCATTCACCAGAGCCTAGTGAGGGCCAAGCTAGTAGATTTTGTGTGCTCCAACCTCATGGTGGGATGATAGAGGGGCTGGAGCACCAGTGTGGGCTCTCCAATGCTGGGGGGGGGGAGCCCTGAGCCTTGGGGGTTGGATCCCGGCAAGCCAGGGGCCACATATGGCCCCCAGGCTTTAGATTCCCTGAGCCTAGCTTAGTCACATGCCTGCCTAATGACTTGATTCATTGTCTCCACCAGAGGCGGATTAGCTGCATCACAGGTAGGCTAAGACCAACCTCCCTTTAAAAGGGCCAGCCAACCTGTGAAAAATGTTAATTACTACATAGTCAGTAGTACCTCTCTAGAACCTTCTGCTTTCAAATCTTGTGAATGTCACCTACAGACCAAAGATGACCCCACCTCCACCTTTAATGAAGATAACATGGTTCAGAGTGTGGTTGATCTTTTGGTGGGAGGGACAGAAACCACAACTACCTCTCTGTGCTGGGCTCTCCTCTATATGCTGCAATACCCAGATATCCAAGGTATGTGAAATGTGCATCAAAGGGACACCCATTAAAGTTTGCACATGGTTACTAAACAAATATTAACTCAGACTAACAGTGTATTGTAAAACAAAGTGACCTGCCAGCATCGAAAATCAGTGCTCAGCTGTTAATATCTAACAGCAGCTCGGAGAGGAGAATTTAATCACAGAATACTAGAACTGGAAAGGACCTTGAGAGTGAACGGGGCAAGAAATATTTCAGATTTCTATGAAATATTATGAAAAGAAATGGAAGTGTGCTATCTCTGCTCCAGCTACCTGAAATGCAACACCAGCAGGGCTACGTCTACACTGGCATGATTTTCCGGAAATGCTTTTAACGGAAAAGTTTTCCGTTAAAAGCATTTTCGGAAAAGCGTGTCTAGATTGGCAGGACGCTTTTCCGCAAAAGCACTTTTTGCGGAAAAGTGTCCGTGGCCAACCTAGAAGCGCTGTTCCGCAAAAAAGCCCCGATCGCCATTTTCGCAATCGGGGCTTCTTTGCGGAAAACACTACTGTGCTGTTTACACTGGCCCATTTGCGCAAGAGGGCTTTTGCCCCAATGGGAGCAGCACAGTATTTCCGCAAGAACACTGACGATCTTACATGAGATCGTCAGTGTTCTTGCAGAAATTCAAGCGGCCAGTGTAGACAGCTGGCAAGTGTTTCCGCAAAAGCAGATGATTTTGCGGAAAAACTTGCCAGTCTAGACACAGCCCAGGTGTTTAGGCTAATTAGTCTCTCTCCTTCCTACTAAGACAATAGAAAGGGGAGACAGCAGGCTAAAGGGACAATTTCATGAGTAAAACATGTTGGGCTCGTCTACACTGGCCCCTTTTCCGGAAGGGGCATGTTAATTTCAGCTATCGTAGTAGGGAAATCCGCGGGGGATTTAAATATCACCCGCGGCATTTAAATAAAAATGTCCGCCGCTTTTTTCCGGCTTTTAGAAAAGCCGGAAAAAAGCGGCGGACATTTTTATTTAAATGCCGCGGGTGATATTTAAATCCCCCGCGGATTTCCCTACTACGATAGCTGAAATTAACATGCCCCTTCCGGAAAAGGGGCCAGTGTAGACGAGCCCAACATGTTTTACTCATGAAATTGTCCCTTTAGCCTTTTTTTTCTTACTAATACTTTCCTCATTGACCGACTGGAAACAGTGAACAGCATATTTTTTAAAAATTACATAAGCTGACATGTATTTATAACTTTCCTGACAAAAGATAAGGTGAATATAATGGAAATATGTCAAAGTCCCTCATTTCATCTATTTCTGGAGATGGGAGCATTCAAGCACTTCTGTAAAGATTACTTTGAAAAGAGAACTACTATTTGAGAAATAGTCTCGAGCTCCGAGGACACGCTGCCTCTCTCTCTAAGGACCAAATTCAAACCAATGCCAGGATTAAACCATAGTCCAAAGCATCTCATAGCAAAGTATTCGTATTTTTATAAGCCCCTGCACTGTGTATGTCCAGTCAAGGGGGACACAGCATGTTAACACAGCTTAGTAAAGAGTATATTGGAAAGAAAATCAGAAAAAGGGATGAAAAATGTTCCTCAGTTGTAAGTAAAACCAAGTATTTCTCTGCAGAGAAAGTCCAGAAGGAGCTAGAAACTGTTCTGGAACCTTCCCAGCTAATCTACTACGAGGACCGGAATAAACTGCCGTACACAAATGCTGTGATTCATGAGACTTTGCGTTACAGCAACATTACTGCTGTCGGGACCTTTCGACAATGTGTAAAGGATACAGCAGTGCTGGGGGTTCCCATTGAAAAGGTACAATGGTATACGCCAGGTTAACACCACCTGCATCTTTTGCATCATTATTTAGAGCACATCTACACTACCGACTTATATCAACTAGGGATGGTAAAATGCATTTTTTTAGGCAAACGTGTCACCGCTGAAAATGTCAGTGATTACGCATTTACACGAGGGGAAAGGCAGCTCCTCAGGAGCCACTTCATGTGGGGAGCCAGCTTTTAAGCTGGTTTCCTGCCCGTGCCAGATCCTGTGGAGCCACCTCACTCTCACCGCCCCATGTTGCTGTCTCTATCAGAGGCAGCAGTTCAGGGAGGGCGGGGAGGAGGTGTAGCGGGGGGCAAGGGCCTGAGTGTAATCATGAAGGCTAACCATGTATATACAAGTTTACACTTTCACATCCCTAATGTCAACCTATGTGAGGCCAACTTGCAGTCAACCTATGTTAGGCCCAGCTTACAGTAGGGTTGGGCAAGAGGCTGTCAGTGGGCCAGATCCAGCCTGCTTAGCCCTTTCATCCCACCTGTGGCAAGTCCCGGCCCTGCCCCCTAATGCATTACCTGGGAGTCGCTGCAGAGGCATGAGCCCTCAATTCCTGCTATTTAAAGGGATTGTGTCTCCCTGGCAGCTCCCAGGCAATACGTAAGAGGCAGGGCTAGGAGCTGAGCCCTTTCAACTGCTTCTATTTAAAGGGCTCGCACCTTCCGGGTGGCTGCTCAGGCACGAACCCTTTAAATAGAAGGAGCTGAAAGGGCTCACAGCCCCCGGCCCTACCGCTAACACGCTGCCTGGGAGCTAAAGAGGAGGCACGAGCCCTTTCAACTCCTGCTATTCAAAGTCTCCGCCCCTTTTGCCTGAGGCCCTGCCCCTTCCGGCCCGCAACCATTTCGGAAATTTTTAAAGTGCCCCCCCCCCCTTCAAAAATTATTGCCCACCCTGGGTTAGACAGTCTATGAGCCACACAGCTGCTATATAAGGACATAGCCTTTTGAAGCTACATTGATTTACCCCAAGTGACACTCTCCTCTGGTCTTGTTTTCTATACTTTGCTAACAAAAACTAAACTGCAAAGAGAAGACAATTATGTTTTGCTTTTTTTCAGAACACAATTGTATTGCCAAACTTACACTCTGTTGTATTCGATTCTGAACACTGGGAGACCCCAGGGAAGTTTAACCCAAATCACTTTCTTGATTCTGATGGCAACTTTGTAAACAATGAAGCATTCTTTCCTTTTTCAGCAGGTAATGCATTGACCTCTAACTCTGCCAGGTTTGTGTACCTTGAAGTAAGAGCGAAGGAAATTAGCTGTTCCAAGAGTTAAAAATATGCACGACTCGGGTAAAATTATCTGACTAATAAACTGCAGAGATTTAGATCCAGTGTTCTAATGTAATAAACACAAAAGTTGTGCACATGTCTAGCATTTCACACCTACACATAATCAAGTTGAAGATGCAGGAAAACAAGGGAGAAACCTGTCTATTGAGGTACTTACATGACCCATTTCCATAGCAACTCAACACTTCACAATCTTTAATGCATTTATCCTCACACAACCCCTGTGAGGTACAGAAGTGTCATTATCCTCATTTTACAATTGGCAAGCTGAGTGACAGAGTCTACAGGACATGCAGGAAGTCTGCCAAGGAGAAGAAACTGAACCTGGGTTTTCCAAAGCCTAGAGAAATACTATAATCCCTCGACAAACTTTCCTCTCTGGTAGCTAGAAAAAAAATCAGAACTCTAATTTCTTCTGTGGAATTTCACTAGGTAGATCTTCAGTCAGAATCCGACTCTTTATACAGCAATGTTACACACTACATGGCATGAGAAACAAATATCTAACTTTTGATTACATAAAGAAACAGACAAAAGCACTAAGGAATAGACAGCTGACCAAAAATTAACAAAGCAAGTATGCACGCCAGATTCTCTGGCAACCAGGTTGGAAACAAAGGCAGCATAAAGCAGCATATAGGTCACAGTAATTGGAGATTTAATTGGAAAAATAAATTTAAAAATACTGACAGAGCAATCAGCCACTAGACAAAATGCTAACTGAGCCAGCAGCACTGTAAAAAAGGACTGCGGGTTCAAAGTAGGTGACGGATTAACTATGAATTTACTGTGTCATGCTGTGGCAATAAAAGCAAACACTATTCTGGGATGTATATACAGCAGTCGGATTAAAAAGAGTGAATCTAATTTCCGAAAGTGGCTGCTGAAACTGTGCAGATCCTGCTGTCATGTACAACGAGGCACTTGAACAACTGCAGACACACAATTGAGGCAATCATTTAAAAATTGGGCATGACACAATGGGGGAGGGATGGTTTACACCGGTTAGAGTGAAGCAGAAGGGGTATCACATTGGCCTGATAAATTATCAACATGAACTAGAGTTGTACGGTTATTTTCCTATGCACATCTTCAAAATGTTGCCACGATTTTTTTCCGAAGTGACGTCTACGGGAGATAAGGGTCCTCACACCTCAACTCCTACACTGAAGCATCTTGGACTTGGAACAGATCAGAGGAAGGGAAAGGCAAGAGCCAGGATGCAATCACTGTGAATATAATACCTACTGACCGAGGCTATGCCTACACTTTGAGGTTTTGTTTCCAGTTCAAGCCAACATAACACTAGCTCTGAGCGAGCTGGTGTACTAAAAGCAGAGTGTAGATGCAGCAGCACAAGGGATGTGACATGGGAAGAGTTAGCTGCTCCAAATATGTACACATCTCAGATGCTAGCTAC